TTAATTGCATCTTTGCTGTGGTTCCTTTGTGCTATAAATTTAGAGCTGATTCCATAGCTACCTGAAGCTAAACAAAGACAAGAGATCAGGGAACCCCTGTCTAAGTGCCTTTGTTTTTTTCTTCTAGTCCTAGACAAAGGAGCAGGTGAAGCATCTCCCCTGTCTATATCCATTCTATGCAAATTTCCTCCTTGATCAGTTACTTCCCTTTCTAGCTGCCCTTTTAAAGCCACAATGAGCGTTCCTCTTTTATAGGAGGTGAAGGAGACAGACACTCCTGCAATGCAAAACAAAGGGACTAAAGTGCTGATATTTGGACTTGATATTGAAACTCTCTGCCTGGGCTAATCTCCCAGACTTTCCCCAATCCATTTGCACCAGCATTTTCATGCCAAGCACGGAATGCTGAAGCCAGATTAGGTAGGGAGTGAACTGGTGTACTCTGGAGTCCATTATAAATAGTGTCGGACAGTTCTGACAAATGCCCCGACACATCAAACCTTTTATCAATTTAAAAGTAACCTTGTCACAGTAATCTGTCAAACGGTTCATATACAACTAAAAGAAAACAAGTCATCATGTACCCAGAGTCACTGAGTAAACAAGAAATATGTGACTGGGAAATTGCTGTGCTCTTTCTTCTAACGTCTTTCTAATAAGAACATGAGAAAGAATTAGAAGCTTCCCACTACAAATGAGCCTTCATTCATCCAGTAGCTTGGCCAGTTCTCTAATCTGTTTGGGAATAGATGAAATCAAATAGAGAATCTAAATATTGGTAATCAGAAGACCCTTGTCATGGTCCCAGCAAGGAGAGGTTTAATTACTGATGCACTTAAAGAAGAGAGTTATAAATATGCACCACCATAATTGTTCAATGAAAACAAAATTCATTGGCTTTCCCCACACAGTGTCCCCTCTTGCATCTTTCCCATTTCTATGAGGATGCTTCTGATTTGTGGATTCCAGGTCTGGAATGAGACTTTAGGATGAAGAGTTAGGGAATAGGAGAACAAATCTTGAGTACAGTTTGGAGAGAAATGGCCAAACTGAGGAATTGGGATCTTCTCCTAGGGGAAATAGGAAGTCATCAAATAATTTTAGGTAGTGGTGTGATATGGAAAGACTTGAGCTTTAGAAGATTATTTTAGCAGACTGTGGAAGATCCACTAAAGAAGGGGGAGGCTGGAAATAGGGTTGGAGGCTATTGTAATAGACTGAGTAAGAGGTGATGGAATTAGGAGGAGAGGGAACAGATATGAAATGTGTAGAGGTAGAATTAGCCACAAGTCATAATACTTGACAAACAATTGAGTATTCAGAGTGAATTTCATGTCAGAGTATTTAATAATAATAATAATAATAATAATTTATTATTACTATTATCATTATTTGTATATCATTATTTAAGAGTATTTAATAATGCTCAGAGTATTTTATCATAATAAATAATGATAATGATAATTTATTGTTACTATTATCATTGTTTATATATCATTATTTATAATACTAATAACACGACCTTGCTTTTATTATCCCCATAATTCAAATAAGTTGATTGAAACAGAGGAAGACTAAGTGACTCACAGGAGGTCAGATCAAATAGATGTCTAAGGCATGATGTGAAGGATTTGAACCCCAAATCTTTGCTACTCTAGCATTCTAACCACTAACCACAGCCTCTCTGAAATAATTTCAACTTCTATTATGTGAATCCTTCTGTAAAGCATGAAATCTTTCTCTCAAATAAAGAAGAGCACCCTGATTTTCCTTCATGTAAATCACAACCCTGATATTCCATAAATTCACATTTTCACATATCAGGTTTACAGAGAGAGAGAGACAGAGAGAGAGAGAGAGAGAGAGAGAGAGAGAGAGAGAGAGAGAGAGAGAGAGAAGAATGATGATGATTCTTTCTAGAAGATTTGTCAACATACCAACTTGTTGGTCTCTTCCTTTTTGCTCTTCATTTTTTTTTGAGTTGAGATCTATGATTGTATTAGTATGAGAAATTCCAATATAGAAACTCTCCATTTTTATGGGTTGACAATTTCTCTTTTCCAGTCTTACAGTCAGTGTATAGAGTATTGGATTTAGAGACAGGAATACTAGAGTTCAAATCTGGCCTCAGATATTTACTGGCTGTGTGACCCTGGGTAAGTCATTCAACTTTTATCTGCCTCCATTTCCATAAAATGGGATCAAAAGAGCACCGTCTTCCTAGGGGTGATGTAAAGATAAAATGAGTTTATATTGGTAAAACTCTTTGCAAACCTTAAAGCATTATATAATTGCTAGCTCTTATTATCAGAGAGATTCCAAGGGGCAACTGAGAAGTTAAGCAATGTACTTGGGGTCACATAGACACTATAAGTCACAAGCAGTATTTAAACCCACCTCTTCCTGACTCCAAGGCCAATTCTCTATCTACCATCCTCTGCTAATTCACCCTTAGCAAATAGAAATATGGCAAAGGATGCTCCTTACCAAGTGTGTCACCCAAATCCTTGCACGCATCGTGTTGTAATGGTACATCACATACTCTAAAAATCCAGTCCTGGCCTGCCTCAGACTATAACATGCTTTGGTATTGTCTTAGATCTGTGATCTCATCCATATGGTCACATCTTCTCACCAACTACAACAATTCATAACTCTTCTTCCTAAGTGATTTGTTTCTAAATTCGCCCATAAATCCTCCACCAGGAGTCTACCCTGCGTAGTAGGGCCTTCCTCTAGATTTGTTGAAGGTGGGCATCAAATGTACATCGCTTCTCCCACTACATTACCGGCCCACCTCCTAATCCACTCGTACATCTCTCCAAAGTCATCTTTTGCACTGCTCAAAGACATATAAATTCAATATAAGACACATTTTGAAAGCCTTTATATTTAGAATGTCTGGGAATATCACAATTCTTTTTAAAAATCAAATAGAATTCTGTAGGCGAAAGTGAAACCCACAATGCCAGCTTTGATTCAGTGAATTGGATAATGTAGTTTAAAACTTCTGTGTTGTCTGAGGTAATTGGTGTGTGTTACCATTTTTATGTTGTAGTGACTAGATTTTATTGATGAGTCAATAGCTTGGGAGTGATTTTTTTTTTAGGTTCAGTCATTTTTGCAAGCTAATTGTGTACTTTACGGTGGCTATATTTTCATTTAGTGATTTTCCCCTCCTCTGTGATTCTAACAAAGTATCGTTTTATTTCTCTCCCTTCTTCTTTGCCACCTCTCCCTTTCTATGTTACATGATTATATTGTCTTTGAAATCAGAGAGTAAGAGACACAGGTTATAGAAATATTGATTAAAGAAATGATGAATGCTAATACACAACAGGTTTAGTAAAGCTAGTTCATATTGGGGGATAGAAAAGGTCATGGATTTGGAGTTAATGGATCTAGGTTCAAATCCTGCTTCTGCCACTTACTGCTATGTGGCCATTGGTAAGTCATTCAACAGTTCTCTGGGTCTCAGTTCCCTTCATTTTAAAATTAAGAAGTTGGACTAAATGGTTTGTAAGGTCCCTTTGCACTTCAATTTCAAGACTGAGGGGCAGCATGGGATGGTGGATACAATGCTGGACATCTAATCAGGAAGGCCTGGGTTCATATTCTTCTGACAATTACTTGCTATGTGATAACAGGTTAATAATCCCTTCATCTAAGTGTCAGATTCTTCATGCGTAAAGTAGGGGAAAATATCGGTGTCCCCCTGCAGTTTTAAGCTTCAATAACTTAAAACAAAGACTTCGGGGACAGTCAGTAAAATCTACTAATAGGACTCTCATGACACTCAAGTGACATAATGGATAGCAAAGTTTTAAGTGCTCTGTTAAATGCTGTGTGCCAATTAACATTAAAGATCTATGAATTTAAATGTCCAGAAGTGATTGCAATTCTAAAACAAATGCATTTCTACAATTTATATAATTAAAGAGTAACCCCAAATACTTCTTTTTTTTTTTAATACAGTAGCCTAGCATTTGAGATTTTGAACAGGAAGGGACCTTAGAAGCCATGTACTCAAAACTGTCTGTCTGAAGATGAAGAATGAGGGTCCAGAGAGAGGTTGACTTGCCCAAAGCCACATCGGTGGTTAGACTGGGACTTGAACCCCTGCCCCCACCTGAGGAGGCAATATCCTCTCTACTTTACCACACTGTGATTGAGGAATAGTGTGAGGTTCTCTTTCCCATGGTAAAGCTTCTTTGTCATTGTTTCCTGGAAGATTTTCTTATATGAGCAAGAAATTCCATGGACACAGTGCCCAGCAAATAGTGGGCACTTAATAAATGTTTATTGACTGATTGACTGAATGAGCGACATTGAGGTATCAAAGAAGGAGCACTGGACTGTGGACCAACAGAACTGGGTTTTATGACCTAGTTCTGCAGTGTCATCTTGGAAAAGTCACTTCCCATTCCTGGGCCTCAGTTTCACCATTTGTAAAGTTAAAGCAATGGATTAGATGAGCTACAAGATCACTTACAGGTCTGACATTCTAACTTAATGCCTTCCTTGTACATAGTAGGCTTTTAGTAAACATTATTATTATTATTATTATTTGCATTGAATCATTTTCTCCCTTATCATTCATTGAATCTTTATACTTCTCTAATCAAAGGGAGTTTATTTTAGAGATGCCACTTTAATCAGCTAAGCGGCTGCTAGATGGGTCCATGGAGAGAGTGCTGGACCTAAAGTCAGAAGACCAAAATTCAAATCTAGCCTCAGACACTTACTAGCTGTATGACCTTGGGCAAGCCACTTAACTCCTGTTTGCCTTAATACACTGGGGAAGGAAATGGCAAACCACTCTAGTATCTTTGTCAAGAAAACCCCATGGACCATACTTTCTATGAAAAGTTGGACATGACTGAACAATAATAATTCCATTCAGATTATTGTAGAAGCAGCTAGGTCATAAAGTGCTTAGAATTCTGCACTTGGTGTCAAGGAGAAATGAATTCAAATCTTACCTTTGTCATTAGCTGTGTGGGCAAGTCACTTAAACTCTCTCAGCCTCAGTGTCCTCATCTATGAAATGCTTATAAGAATAACAGTAAGCTTACAGGTTTGTAATATGTTGGTAGGGGGAGCAAGAATGCCTTCCCACAAGAACGAAGCCCTGAGGGAAGCTGAGGATTCTAAGCATCAGTGGTGAGGGAATAGTGTCTAGAGAACACCAATAGGAAGTAATACTGTATTGGATAACATGGAATAGGTGCAATTACTCAAAGTATAGATTACATGAATAAAGAAATAAGCCTGGAAATGTAGGCTGAAGCCAGATTATGAAGGAATTTACACATTCAGTGAATGATTCTATATTTTATAAAGGAAATTGGGAGCCATTAAAGGTCCTTGACCTGGGGTGGAATCATGCCTCTGATTCACATTAGCTCCGTGTTGATGGGCAAATCATTGAATTTCTTGGAGCCTTTATTTCCTCTTCTATAAAATGGGAAGGGGGATAACACTTTCGCTACTCACCTATGTGACTGTTGTAAGGAAGGCACTTTGCAACCAAAGACCACTGTATCTGTAGGAGTTTTTATGCATTATTGAATAGAATTTTGCCAATTTCTCTAACATGACTTGAAGGAGACAAGTAGGCTAAAGAAAAAGGATTGGTCTTATTAACCTAATTTTACATGGGTGTTCCAGCAGAGTATAGTGGATAGAGTAGTCTTCTAGTCAGAAAGACTTGGGTTCAAGTATTGACTGACTCTAAGACATACCAGCTGTGGGACCATGGATAAGTCATTCCACTTCTTGGTGCCCCAGGCAACTGTCTGAATATAAATTACAGGCAGGTCACCAAACTGCATTAATGGATAATGTTGCCATAATGGAAGTTGCCTATTCTGATGAAATTATAGGCCTTGACCAAAAGAAGGAAAAAAATGGCAGATAATATAGCTAGCATGATTTATTCAACTTGTATATACATATTGTATTCATGTATCTACTCATGTGTGCATGTATCTTGGGGCTATTGTCATTTACTAAGAACTCTATTTTTGGACTTCACAAAATGTTTTTATACATCTCTTATAACCTCTTCCATCCTTCTGATTGTGACTTAACACCCATTATGCAATACTCTCTTATAACCATATAGCTGTTGATTGACCTTGTAAGGTTCTCTTAAATACATTGCTTTGCTCATTTTTTCTCATCCACTATTATTTCCACCAGCTGCTTCAAGTCTTCTCCTACTCTCTCTTAACCTGTGCTTGGGGATCTGCTGCTATGTATTCTCTTCTTGACATCTTGTGTGTGCATATGTGTGTGTGTTGTCTCCCTATTCAACTGTCTACTTCTTAGGGGTAGGAACCTTGTCTTCAGCTTCTTAGGTACTCAGCCATGGTTCTCAGGACAATGTATATCACATGATGGCCATTCCTGACATGGTCACTGAAGAAATAAATGATAACCGCTATGGTTGCTTTGGGACAAACCATTTCCTGCAATTGAAAATACATCTTCTTCCTGCTTCCCAATACAGGTTTCCCATATGAAGAAACACATTTCAACTTGATACTAGGAAAAACTTCTGAAAAAATTCAAACATAAAAACAAATGCTGATTTTTTAATTTAAGTTCTTCTCTGTGTATTTCACTGTATTGCTATGACACCCAAATGGTACCTGTGTACCAGTACAGACATCATTGATCTGATGTAACTTTCATTATACTACTGCTAAAATATTTAGTTTGTTAAAGGTGACATAAGTGTATAAGATGGCCATATCAAATAATCTTATGAGTTTTCCTTTTGACAAAATTCTTAGTTATTTTGTCCAATAAATATCTTATCAACTTTTAATAGCCTGCAAATTATTGGAATGAGCTACCTCAAGACAGTGCGAGTTCCATCACACTGGAGGTTCTCAAGTGGTGGTTAGATGACCACTTGTCAGTAATCATATTGACAAAATTATAGTCCAGGGGTTGGTGGGGCTGGACATATCATCATAGGTACATTCCACCTCTGGATTCTAGGATTCTGAGATGAACTGATCATGTGGTCCTGCTATATAATAGCTTGGATTTTAAGAAGCTTCTAGGAGCAAATAGAATAGTTTTAACTTGTGTCTTGCCATGATATTAAAATCCTATTTCTCCTTTTTGGTATGAAGATGGACATAGGAAGAGTTTAAGAAATACTGCATCTTTTTTGAGTGTGTGCATTGATGGGAAATAGTGATATGCTGGGTGTTTCCCTAATATTAGGATCTGATAAGGATTCATGAAGGTGATGACTTGGCTATGAAAGAGCTGCATGTATACCTATAGTCACTGGAAGCTCTTAGCTTCTGAGCAGCAACTGGTAACCATTTAGCTTCCCAGGAGTCCATCGTTGGTTGCTTGGATTCTGCCTTACCTGAACACCTGACCCAGCAAAGAGGATAGAAGGACTCCATAAGTGATTGTCAATATGCATTGACACACTGCTCTCAGGTTTTCTGAGCCATTAGAAGAAGAGTGTTCAAAGGCGTCCACCCAGCTTAATTGTCATTTCTACTCTGTGATCTAATGACGATAGTTTCCATGAAATGCATATCCAACCAAAGATATTATTGAGAATTGTGGAAGAGTGATGTGTAGAGTAACGTGCCATGAAAAGGACAAGCACGGTGTCTGGTTATGTTCTCATAACCAATTCAATCAAATCCAATCCACATTTATTAAACACTTATGAGGATTTCAGTTACAAGCCTGCCTCTAGTGTTTGCTGCCTGTGTGACCTTGGACAAGTCACAGACTCCCTGGGTGTGAAATCCCTCATTTGTAAAAGGAGAGGGTTGGACTAGAAGACCACTGAGATCTCTTCTAACTTTTAGATCAATGTGCAAGCCCATGGGCTAGTGCTAGAGCACAAAGAAAGGCAACAATGAAAAAAGACCGGACCCTCAAGGACTTGATATTCTACTAGAGGGAGGTGGTGCTGTTCACACAGCGTGTATTTACATGAGAATTTAAGGAGCGCAGAGAGAGATTACTAATGGGGTTGAGAGGAGGGAAGTACTGCTGCAGTGGGTGATCCATGAGCTAAGCTTTGTCCATCATTTAGGATATATGAACCAATGTGGTATAGAGAGTGTGTACTTGAAGTCAGCGAGACCTGGATTCAAATCCCGCCTCAGATATTTACTAGCTGTGGGACTCGTGGCAAGTCTTCTCTGGGCCTGTTTTCTCATCTGAAAAATGAAGAAGTCAGGCTTGATAATGTCCAAGATCCCTGCTCTAAATCTATGACCCTACATTTCTCATATGGAGTCAAAGCTTGTAACTGTTCCTTTTCTGAATGATGAGGAAAGAGAAGAAGGAGGAAGAGGAGGAGGAGGAGGAGGAAGAAGGGGAGGCGGAGTTTCTGATGGTGTCTTTAAATGGGCCAAGATGCAGAGAACGTCACTGCATATCCATACAGAATGATTATTTCCCTCTGTTTCCTTAGTTTGGTCCCTGGTTGCCTTACCTAATGTGGGAGACCTGGGAGATGATAATTTATGATGCCCAGACACTAAAAAGAAAAAAATGGTGAAATAGTAGGAAACTCACAGATGTTCCATGTCTGTCCTCAGGCTGCCACTCCCCTTATCACAGAAAACAAGAAGCCTTCTTTATGGGCAGCTGGATGGCTCAGCCGACAGAGTGCTGGGCCTAGAATCAGGAAGATGTAAGTTCAAATTTAACCTCAGGCACTTACTAGCTGTGTGACTCTGGGCAAGCCACTTAACCTCTGTTTGCCTTAATCCAGTGGAGAAGAAAATGGCAAACCACCCTAGTATCGCTGCCAAGAAGATCCATGGATAATATTAGCATGCCATGGTCCATGGGGTCACGAAGAGTCGGACATGACTAGAGAACAATAGTTATGTTGGTAAAAGTTCTTAGGCAGACAACTAGCATGGAGAAATTTGCTAGAGCCAAGTGTATAAATCAGGGCTCTTGTCAACCTACAGCTTGTTCACACTTGTAGACTTCTGAAGGGCTGGTGCTGCTCTTCTCTAGAGTGACAGACAGCAGCAGCTGCACCGAGGTTCCTGGAATGCAAACATGTGTATCTTCCGTTGTCTTCACGTTAAATCAGTTGTAGATCATGGAATTTAATAGCTGGAAGGAAGGAAGAAGCCATCATCTAACCCAACCCCTTCATTTTATAGAAGAAACCGAACCCTGTGTCCTCTGCAGGGCAGGCAGCATGGTGCAAGGGAAATGATAGTGAATTTGGAATCAGAAGAATTCCAAAGCCTGCTCTGTTGAGATCTGAGGGACCTGCTGGGCCTTGGTTTCCATCTCTATAAAGTGAAGGGCTTGGCCCAGATAACCTTGGAGGCCTTTTCCTGCTCTAGAACTGTGATCCTAAGACCCCCAGAGGTCAAGCAATTCATCTACCGTCATAGTGTATGCTTGCAGGTCTGTGGGTATATGCAGACATTTAATATGTGTTAAAAATATGTCTGCTTACACACAGACACACATGCACTAGAGGCGGCCCAGTGGGAGAGCACTGGACCAGGAGTCACAAAGACCCGATTTCAAAACCAGGTTCAAAAATGTACTAGCTGTGTAACTCCAGCAAAGGCAACCCCAGCAAAACCTCTACCTGCCTCTATTTCTTCATCTGTTAAATGGGGATAACAGCACTTTCCTCCTGGAGTTCTTATAATGATAAAATGAGATACTATGTGTAAAGTACTTTGAAATCTTAAAAGGTGTGTATATATAATATATAATGTAATCATATGCATATATATACACACATATCCATTTACTAGCTATTATTATTGTAGTACCCATATCATATGCATCAATGCATACATGTATATGTATGGATAGTATGTGTATCTATACTACTATATGGCAATGTTTGGTCCGATTGGTATGGAGAACTCCCTGGTATATAAATTCCCTCCACCATACAGATCAGCAACTCCTTTGTAAATTGTTGATTTATCAGGGGTTCTTGATTTGGGGTCCATCAACTTTTTAAAATATTGTATATTTCAGTATAATTTGTTTTCCTTGTAATGCCATGTATTTAGTTTTGTGCATCTAAAATTA